GGGCTTTTTGGCCCGAGGTTAAGCCCGCGGGCCAAAAAGCCTGTTCAAGCCCGTCCGGGGGCCGGGCCGGCCCGTCGAGCCACCCGGCCCATGAACAGGTCTAGTTACAAGTCCCACATTGCTCAATAATGGGATAGAAGGATAGGTAACCCAAGCCAAATCAAGATTAGAAATTAAATTAGGCCCATGCCTTATTTTTTGTTCCATAGGCCTAAAGCCTACCCAAGCCCAATTTAACTTTGACTTGTGTAAATTTTTTTTGCATGTATTCCATTTACAGGTTATTTAATTTAAAGAAAATAAATAATTATATCTTTATTATTTGATGTCGTGGGCTCAAAGTCACTAATCATTAGGCCTAAAAAGCACATAAGCCTGGCCTAAGCCCATGTGGGACTAGAATTGGGCTTGCAATCTAGGCCTGGGGTGGGGTATAAGTCATGCAAGGCCTAGGCCTTGCTTAAAACCCTTATCATTGGTGCTAAGCCCGACCTAGTCCATGATTACCCCTAATTGTGAGAGATGTTGGGCCCTATGATGCATTTTTAATATTGCTCTTCTGCTTAACATACATTGCGCCCTTTGATCCCACCCTATCCAACGTTGATGGCTACAAAAGAAAATCCCAACTCGATCATTTAAAATAGGGATGACCTAAGTTCTATCGAATTGCGATCTAATCTTGTTATGATGCATTATAAATTGATAGATGGTTGGAATTAAAGATCTTTGTTAGACAGTGTGTATGCCCTCAGCTGCAACTAATGTATTGTATATATTTTTCTATGAATAAAAGAACACCCATTTCATGTGTCATCAGGTTGTTTTGGGTAATTCCCCTCCCTTCATGTTAATATTATGTATGAGGCCCCATAGTTGTTATAATGTGGACTTAAATGTTCACAACAAGTGGATAGACTTGGAGAGTTTATCCTGATATGGTTGTCATTCTTACATTGGCCAAGGTAGTGGAAAAAATGGGTCTTAGTTGCTTGGGTTATGACCTAAGATGTGAGAATGAGTGTTTACAAGAAACATCGAACCGGACCAAACCCAACATGTTCTTGGTTGTGATAGGCAAGGATTAAGGTATTGATATGATACTCCTGATATGGGGCATATCGTATCCCTATCCATGATCATGGAAATAGGATATGCTACGACTGGATACATATCCTGCGAGTTGTATGTAGGCCTCCGTATCGGGTCGTATCGGTGGATACAGTCTGATACACATCGATATGGAGGTGCATCTGTGTCTAGTTTGACAAAATTGTACATTGAGTACTTTTGGATTGTTTTTCATCTTTAATACAAGTTAAAAAATAGTATTATGAAAACTAAAATAAATAATTTAAGATTTAATTTTTCCAAAAAAATTAATAAAAACTAAAAATTATAAATTAATATATTTCACCTACCTTAGATGATTTATATATTTTATTTTACACATAATTATATGTTAAAAATGAAAACATAGATATTATTTGAAAAAATATAGTTATTATATAAAAATACTAAATAAATAAAATTTCCCAACAAAATTAATGGAAAACAGAAAATTATAATTATAAAATCTGAAGCGAAATGTTTAAGATTTAATTTTCCCAGAAAATTTAATAAAAACTGAAAATTAAATATAACTTATTTTATCTACCTTAAATGATTTATTTGTTTTATTTTTCAATTACGTATAAAATAAAAACATTATATGATAAAAATGAAAACGTATTTATTATTTAAAAAATGGTTGTTATTTAAATAAAATACTAAATTAATAAATATTTCCAAAACTTAATAAAAATTGAAAATTATAATTATAAAATTGAAAGAGTGATAATTATTGTACAATGTTTGAATGTTCTAGAGTCTCAGTATTGTTTATTGTAATATTTCTCTTCATATTCATGTGTTTATATCTTATTCATAACTAATTCAGCTTTTGGTTTAGTATGATGGATGTATTTATCTGATTTGTATACATTTCACTAGTGTATCCAAGCGTTTCTATATCTTTTATTCGTATTCGTCAATTTCCAAAGTGTATCCATATCCATATCCGAGTTATTCGATATGATACCTAATACCGATACTTTGATCCTTGATGATAGGTGGAACAAATATGTATTACTTTTAATCTCTAGACTCAATACTGGTATCAAATTGACT